AAGATTCTCCTCTTTTCCAAGACTCTCTTTGGCCTCTCTTGACTTTATATATGATAACTCTTGAAATCCCTATGAGTCACTTTAGATTACCCTTCAAAATTCATCCAAATTTAATGGATAGTCATCAAAATTGATTATGGAACCTAGGCGTCCAACTGTCTTTTAGAAGCTTTGGTTAACTATTTGGCGCCTAGGCGCCAGATTCTGGTGTCATGGTGTGTGGCTCTTTATTTTCACTTACAGGGACTGACGCCTAAGTGCCGTTCATTTTGTGCTACCTTGCTCTAATTTTCTCCATTTTGCTCCAATTTCACTCCCTTTTCTCTAAAATTTCATCTCTTATACGTGCAACAAAAAACATACAAAATACATTCCATTAAAGTGCAATATCATTAAAAATGAACATAAAATGTATATATAAAAATAACACAATTTTAAGCATGTTAGGTTCCGCAGTCCAAACAACATGTTTTACCTTTTCGAGGCATTGGGGTTATTGCAGTCCGGATCAGGCGTAAAATATACTTTTTGAGGTGGGCCTGGTGTAGACACGTGGCGGCATATTACGGGAGTGCACACAAAACTGCATCCGGGCTTCCTATTTAAAAATTTCTTGAAAATTAGGGTACAATTGATATATCACCAACAAAATTTTTCATTTAACACATATCTCAAAGCATTTATTGGGTGAGAAACATTCAAACTCCAATTAAAAAACATTTAAAACCTTAATTTCAGTGAACTTATTGTGAATCTTACCAGCTCAATGAGACAAACCCAATGCGACGAATGTTTGTCCAAAGAGTGAAATCTTACATGGATCAAGCCATAGAGCCTCCTTAGGTAACATTTGTGGCATAATTAGATGGCCAAACATATTAAAAATATGGCTAGCTTCATTGATACAAATCCAACGAGCCTAAAATCACTCAATTCTAATATTATTAAACACTAAATTGGTGATAGAATTTCATCCGATCGAAGAAGTGGTATGAATTCCTTTTTATTTTTTAAAGAGCCCTCTCTGAGAATATAAATAGAGACCTAACCCCTTTTTGAAAGGAGAACTTAGAACTTGACCTAATGAAAGCTTGAGACTTGGAGGAAAAGGATCTGATGTTTACTTTTTCACATTGAAAGTTCAAATGAATGCCATCTACTCCTGTAATCACCTATCATCATAGAACACCACTCACTAGTCATCATCGACTACACTAGACCACACCTACTCATCACAACAAAGCATCTTGCTGAATATTAACCAGTATTGCGAAGTAATGTACCCCAAAGGCAATGTACTAAACACAACCTGAAGATGGTGTAATAATGCTCAAGAGATGATGCAACGTGCACCCACATCAGTTTCTTCACTCCAAAGATAGTGTAGAAATGCACCCTGCATATATTGTAACAACACGCCATATATACAATGTAATAACTCTTCCTAAAGAGGGTGTAATAATGCACAACAAAATAACTACTAACAACAGTCTTAATTAGAATACATTGAATTTATTTAAACTTCATAAATTCACCTTGCAGCCCACTAGTAAAGGCCACGTGTCCAACTATGTATTACGTGGCAACAGCTTATATAGATCCCAACTTCAGTCGTTGTGACTTACAAGCATTATCACAACTTGTGCAGCTCCCAACTCTGGTCTCTACAACCTATAGATATTATTACAGCTCGTGCATCTTGTAACTTTAATCTCTGTGGACTACACATATTATCACAGCTTATGCATCTTCTATCTCTGACCACTTGATACACTTTAAAATTATCTATTTTTAATGTACATTTAATGTTTTTTTTGCAAATTTTTTATGATATTGTACTTTAAAGGAATATATTTTGCATATTTTTTATTTCGGGTACAAGGAATGGATTTTTAAAAAAAATGAGGGCAAAATGGTACAACTTCATATGGCATCATAACGTCAACTACTCAATGTAATGGGCACCATAGCACCCCAGAGTGGCGCCATAGCGCCATAAAAAGTTTCTCTAGAAAATGCATTGAATTTAAACAAAGTTTGAAGGGATTCTTGAAGTAACCCTGGGTTATTCTCAAAGTTATATTAAATGGGACCAATGGTTGTTTGAAAGAGGGGCTTTTAAGGGCTTTAGAAGAAGGGTTAGAGGGGCTCTAGTGGGTGTGTGAGTTCATATTTGTGAGTCTTTGTATTATGTAAGAAGAGTTTGGAGATTGCTTAAAGTAAAATTTAAAAATTGCTTGAGGAGAAGTCATAAGATAAGTACTTTGTATTTGTGTTTGAGTTTTTGTTGTTAAGACTTAAATTTCAATACAAATCATGTGTTTTTGTTTTATCTCCATGTACTCTTAAGTATTTTTTCTTTCTTTCTTCTTGCATATGGAAATTAATCATTTAGGATGAGAATGATTTAAATATCTCTTTTTATTTAAATTTTGTGATGGTATTTTCACCGATTCTTCATTTCTTCATTGACATTGCAAACTGGCCATTTGTATGTTAAAATCCGTTGCGAAACATAATGACCCGAGAGGGCTATGATTTCACTTAACTAGTGAGTACCACACTTAACTTTGGAACGAGCCATCATGATCGTCCAAGGGGAAGTGCAAATAAATTGGGAGATAAGTTTTAATGGGCGTAAAATTACTGTTTCTATTCTTTTATCAATTGAATCTTGAGTTTGGATCTAAGCGTCCCTAGTATGTCCTATAGAGAGTGCACAGTGCTTAATCTAGAAGTGAGAGGGTAGAATCTACTCAGCACTACTACACAAGCTAGAACAAACTTAAGGTTAGTCAATGTTTTTTGCTAGCACCGAGGGGTGGGGTGAAGAATAGGTATGCTCCTATTTGTCACAATACACCATTTCATATTTTTAGTTATTTAATTCCTACACAGATTAAGGTCTCTTTGCAAGGGGAAAGATCTTTTCTTAATAATCGAACTCTTTTAAATTTTATTAGTCTTTTAAAATTTATTAGTCTTTTAAACTTTATAAGTATTTTAAATTTGGTTAAACTTTGTTCTTACTTTCTGCTTTAATTTAGATTGCACGTAAATTTAGTTTAATCCTTTACAAATATTTCAACACATTCTCCTATCATTTTTATCTAGAACTTAGATAAAAGTTTTCTAAGTCATTATTAAAAAGTTATAACTTTCCCTGTGGGTTTGATATTGAGGTTTTTAAAGAAAGTCGTATATTACTTTAAACGATACGTATACTTGTATAGTACACATAGTGTGAAGACTTATTATTTCTTCTCTAAATCATTTTATTTATTCACACTAGCCGCTAAATATAATTTAGGCTAAGTTGTTGGCAATCTTTTGAGACTATAAAATATCTGCGTAATTGCAGGTCGGGTCACCTCTACAACCTATAAATATTATAACAATGAATGTAGCTCCCAACTTTATCTCATATTGCCTACAAGTGTTATTAATGTGATATTATCACAGTTCATATAGCTCCCAACTCCGGTCTCTTTGGCCTACAACATTATCACAACTTGTGCATCTCTGAACTTTGGTCGCTATATTCTGCGAATGTTGTAACAACTTATACAGCTCCTAAATTCTTTCTTTGTGCCCGACAAACATTATCGTAGCCATGTAGCTCTTAGCTCGTGCCTCTGCAATCTACAAAAGTTAGTATTACTAGTGCATCTCCCAATCTCTACCTTTGAGCTCTATGGACCTTATCTCAACTCATGTGGCTGTCAACTCTAACCTCTACAGCCTGGACATTTAATCGGCCCATGATAATCCCAAAGCCGGCCTTTATAGCTATGGACGTTGTGTCTTCTCATGCAGCTCTTAACACTTGCCTCTACATTCTACAGACGTTATCTAGGCTCATGCAACTCCCAACTTCAACCGCTGCAATTTACATGTGTTATTACAGCTTCTTATTACAGCCTATGTCACCAACGATGGCTTAGAAAGTCCAAAGCTCATGCAGCTCCCGACTTCAACCTCTACGGCCTAAGGATGTAATTCTCTTAGCTCCTGCAATTCTCTAACGGTGGCCTAAGGATCTTATTTCACAACTACGACCTACGTGGTTCATAGCTCCTGCAATTCTCTACTACGACCGCTATGGCCAACCGACATTCTTGAAGTAACCACCTATAGCCCACGTCACCAAATACTACAGTGACTTCCAATTAAGGCTTCTACGACAAGCTGGTGCTACAATCATAATCTATAATATTCATAGTAGAAGACTAGTGGAAGACTTCTACCAAGCAATTAATTACGACCATTGCATCCTACTATCACTAATAACTAAATTCATCAAAGTCAGGTTACAACTATTATCGATGAGCTACTGTTGCACAACATTGTAACTCCATCTTTCCAATTCAGGAGAAGAGTAAACCTATGCACTCACAATTAAATAGTGGATTATCCGAGTGATAGATTTTTGCTAGCCCTAATGATTTTCTCCCATATCCAAGGCTTTTCACGTAAATATTCTAGTGCATTTAATTATCACTTTAATTACCCGAGTGATAGATTTTTGTGTAACCCTATGACGCTAAATAATCACTCTCACCCATCAAGTATTATGATATATTTTGATGCAATCAAATGTCCTTTCTCCTATGCATTAGAACACTATCTAATTATGATTTCTATTAACAAACTTCTTTTAATGGAAGATTTACATGCTTGAAACCCTGAATATGTATATATACCTAAATTCTAATTAGAACTCCTATGTATTTACATACACATAAATCTTAATTTTTATATTTATCCCTAATTTACTTTACAATTTTAATGGTATATTCCGTTTTTAAAACGTTAGTAATATGATATATTTTGATGTAGTTTGTATCATTTACATGCACAAATATATAACACTTTAATTAAAAAAAAAAGTTAAAAATCTGAAATAGTTTGTATCATTTACATGCACAAATATATAACACTTTAATTTAAAAAAAAAATTAAAAATCTCAAATTATCAGTTAAATCTTTGGTTTTGTGGTAAGAGTATAATAAGTTGTGATGACAATATCAACTAATTTTGATAACATGTCTACTCATTTGAAGTTGGAGCTGCGGGAAATTCAATGCGTACGGAAGTACATCGATGCGCTAACCAAACTGCAATTCGCCGCAATAAAAGAAATCTTAGGTTTGCAAGACAAAAAAGCTCACGTAAAAAGCAAGTCCTCTTTCTATCTTCTCGAGTAAAACAAAAGTCTTCTTTCTTCGAAGGAATACTCCATCTCCTCCGTTGCTTTTGTAATGGAAGCTGGTTCTGCTTCATAAGCGGCAGAAAAAGGAGCGGGAGTGTTGGCCATCTTCATGGGCGTCGACATGGTTCTAGTAGTCTTAGGTGTCCAATTCTCTTCCTCAGCAACCACGTTGTGGATTATCTGAGGAGTAAATGGCAGGTTGCTGGTCGGAGTCAGAGGGGCAAATGGCTTTCTTGGCGTTTCTGTAAGCTTAGCGTTCGTGTTCTTCGTCGCATTGTAATGTTTTCCCGAATCGTCAGACTGGAAACCATTCAGATTTGTTGAATTGAAGGACAGTTTCTTTACAGAAATTCCAGTATCCACATGATTCTTTGCTGCATAAATTCAAGTTTAAATGGTCAGTTGTCGAAGTTAATGAAACAGGTTCTGAAGAAGTTTGAAGGAACAAACCAGGAGAAACAAGGAAGCTGCGCTCGTTTGCTCTCTTTGTTGTCTTAGTGCTGCATAAAAAATCAGGTTTTGTTGGCTGTATTGCGGCAGCTCCAAGGGATAATCTTCGGCTTGCACCGCCTAGAGAAGCTCTAGGCATTTTCTTAGCGCTCTGTGGCTTGGAAGGACTTGGCTTGGATCCAAAAAGTGCTTCTTGTTCAGCTATAAGTTGACTTTGGAGTTTTTTCTGATCCTGAAGTGTTATTTTTAGAACACGTTAGAAGCACGTTACTGGCGCAAAACTGGCAAGCAATGTACATATTGAATACATGCTGAACGGAACAAGTATCCCACCCTTTGTCTCTTTCTTTCTAGTTCTTTCTGCTCGCGGAGAAAAGTATAGTCCTCTAGCATTGGTAAAAGACGGACCTGAAGTGAAGGGTAGATTTAAGGATGGAGACCAATAAATATCTTCTCAGACAATGTCAAATTTGAAGTCATAATTCTTACGCCATCATATGTAAAATCAGTGCCCCTTTCTTTCTCCCATGCTATGATTTTATTGCACAAGGCCTCAACAATTCCTAACCATGATAATCAAATATAATTTTAGCAACAATGAGGAAGAATCAGGGATAGATCTCACCGACGTTGATTTGATAAAACTTTTTTGTAGCTATGGATAATATGAATATTTATTCTTAAATTCTTTTTCAACTACATAAATTACTGAAATTCTGCCCCTCTAAATTTTGGTGAACACTTCCGCCCCTTCATTTAAAATGCTAATTCCACCATTCAATTAGAGTTGGAAACCTTATAGAAATGGGCATAAAAAGGTATCAAAAACAAACCATTAGTGGTTGACACAGTTAAATTGAAAGTGAAATCAGATTTAAAAGTAAAGCTGACCAGGAATCCTTTGAACTGCAGCTCGAGCTTTCTCAGCACGTTTCAGTGCTAGATGGGCTCCTCTACCCGCACTGTAACGGTTTTCATCCTAGAAGCCATGATAATCGGCCGAGTTAAGCAGCTATGCAAGGAAAAGTTACATGGATTTGGAAATAATTAACAACGAATGTCTGACCCTGTTATACTCCTCCAGCCAGGCTTCTTCTTCACAAGCAGCCATCCATTTCTCAACCCTCTCAAGGATTTCTTTCCTGCTAAAAGCTTCCTCTTTTACACCTGAAATCTGAGCCTCAATCTGCTCCAAGATTAGAGATGGGTCAATAACACCTACAAGTAAAAATATCAAAAACAGTTTGATTAAAACAGGAAAACAATGAAATCATGCTTTTATCAGAACATTTATTTGCCCAATCCCTACCAGCTTCAATGGCTTCAATAGCAATCTCAAGTTCACTGTTTTCTTTAACAACCAAATGTGTCTTTCTGCGCAGTTCTTCTAGTTCAATCTTCTTCTTCAGGAGGAGTTCTTTCATCTTGCTTCCTTTCAGCTCTTCAAGCCTCAAAACTTCTGCCTCTACCTGCTCATCATATGTATTGGTATCAAAGACTTCTAATCCTAAATTCTAAAGAGAAAAAACAAGTTCATTTTATCTCCCAGTGCAGTCAACTCACGTAGTTGAGGAAATCGGCTGAAAAAGAGTGTTAGGCTCTGTAAGCTCATTTTCTGAAGCAGCAACAAGGCATGTTACATTCTGAAACAACTGCTGTTCTTCTATTGGTGTGTCCATCAAGTTCCAAAGTTCTAGCATAGTAGTGGCGAGATCTTGAAGCTGCCGAAGCTCAATCAAAATCAGTAATAAATCATAGCAAGATTTACATACATATCATGATATCACTCGATACTTATGTATTTACATGTATAACACCTAAATTTCAATTTTGACATATTGGCCACCTTAACTGTGCATGAAAACGTGTATCACTTTCCAAAAGTTAAAATAATGATATTTTTTATGTGATATGAATGATTTAGGTGACATAAATGTAAAAAGTAGAGTTTAGGTGTTACATATGTATACACATAAGAATTGGGTGGTTCGTATGTAAATGCTCCATCAGTATAGATTTAATACCTAAGAAAGTTACTTGCCTGGTTCATTCTTTGTACTTTAACATCCCTCAGTCTTTGTATGATAGAAGCCAACCTCTCAATCACATCATTGCTGACAATCTTCGTTCCTTCAGCTTCGTCTAAACTCGGGTGCACTTCAATCACCGTTCTCTTGAAATCTACCCCAAGAACTATACATAATGCATTTAATGCATTTAAATGTTCCAACACCTGGTTAAGCCGATCAGCCTGCAAAATATGACATTTAACAAGATAATCTATTTAGAAAATAAATGACATAGAGAGAGAGAGAGAGAGAGAGAGAGAGAGAGAGACAAGTAAGAGAGAGAAATAACCTTCTCCTTTTGCAGTGCCTCCAGTTGTCTCTGAAGTTCTTCTAACTTTCTAGTGGAAAGATCAGTTTCATCGACAAGAAGTTTGGGCAGAGCTTCCCCATTTGGCCAAATTTCACTAGAGATCTTTCTTATTTGTTCCATGATTTGAAGGAATTGACTCAATCTAGCACTTTTTCTCTTTTTCATCTCTTCTAATTGAGGAGTGATGGCCATGAGCTCTTCTTTCAAACTTGCAGCATTTTGATTGGACTGCACATAGTAATTTCAAGAACAAAATGCGCATAAATGCTAGTCCTGTTGCATAGTAATTATCAGCAACCTTAGTTAAATATTTAGGATGGAGAGATGCTGCCTCTTTTAAGGGCTCATTTAATCTTGCAATATATGTATATATATATATGTTCTACAAAATAATACCATTTTCATTTGTGTGCAAAGACGAACCAACATTTTAAAAAATCCTTTAAGGAGCTTGGCAAAAATAAAATTAATATGATTTCCAAGTGCATCCATCTAAATAACTAAATAAAAAAAATTCGTCATTTACAAAGTCCGTCTTCAAATTTCATGCCCCCAAATAGGCCCTACATACCTTTTAAGGCTGCATATGATGCAACCATGTACTTGAAAAGGGTATGAGAATTGCGAATTAAGGAAATTTATTTTGATAGAAGTGTTAAAATAGAATGCATGCCAAGAAAACACTGAATTATAACATGATCCAATGGAAGAGTGTGAGCGAAGACAAACCTGCTTGAGATGAACTGGTCTCTCACCCATAGCAGAACAGATGGTTGCAAGTTCCGCTTCCACATCAGCTATTGCTTGGCACAAATTGGCCCTAGAACGGTTCGCTATATCAACCTTTCTCTTATATACCTCAAGGCACTCTTGTTCAAGCTCGAGGAGCATTTTGTCTCTTTCAGCATCCGATTCTCCAACTTCATTCCATATCACCTAATCCAAATACATTCATAACAAAAAATAGAAAAAATCATCTTACTAAATATGCTTCAGAGCAGTTTTAATTCTTTCATGCATGGCTGACATAGACTAATATACACCCGACATTTACATACATACCAACCACTTTCTATGTATTTACATATCTAACATCTGAACTTCTTACTTTTATACCACCCAATCTTTCATATCACATTAAAAAAACCACCATATTAAATGCTCCTTTCTATGCATAGGTAAGGTGGTATGTATGTAAAATTAAGGTTTAGGTGTTAGATATGTAAATAAATTGGAATTGGGTGGTATGTTTGTGAATCTTCCAATAATGTAAACTGAATGAAAAGCAGGTACCACCTACTTCCTAACTATTTACATATCTAACAGCTAAACTTTATATTTTACATTTATACCACACAATTCATATCAAATAAAAAAAAAACCATATTCAATGCTCCTTTTCATGCATAGATAAGGTGGTATGTCTGTAAAAATTGATGTTTATATGTTAGATTAGTAAATACGCAGGAAGTAGGGGGCATGTATGCGGATCTTTCAATATCATAACCTGAATGAGAAGGAGATTAAATATGTAAACATATTATAAGAACTTTTCTATTGGAAAAAAAAAACAAGAGAGGTGGTTATATTTTCAATACAAGCTATAAATTATAGTAGTCTAAATTTACCTGAAGCTCATACAGAAGGGATTCACAGGTTGTTTCAATCTTTGAAAGCTGGTCACGAGTTGAAGGGCCCATTTTGAAAAAATATCTTTACATTCCACTTGGTCTAACCTCCCAAAGTTCTTGATGGCAAGAAAGCCTGCATATATATTTCCTGCATTACAGGCAATAAAATGCCAGCAATAAGGTTGCTGAGTATGATATATTCACACACCACAACACGCTAATAGAGATTCCACAGATTTGTCAACGCAAAATATTGAGTAATGAAAAGTATCCAAAACTTCATCCAATATCGTGTGCGCCTTTAAATATGCTTTAATCTGTGGTATGTTGTGCTCGTGCATTTAATCCTCGAACCATGTGGCAAGAAAAAATATAGAGGAAGATTACATAAATGCCACTAAATTCTGATGTATTTACATATCTAACACCTATACTTCAATTTTTACATTCGCGCCACCTTATCAAAGCAGGGAAAAAGATTATTTCACTTTTTAAAAGTTAAAATAATGGGCATCTTTATGTGATATGAATCATTTGGGTGGTAAAAATGTAAAATAGCAAGCCTTAGATGTTAGATATTTAAATAAATAAAAATTGGGTAGTATGTAGCAAACAATGGATAAGCAAAGACCTAAGAAGATTCATTAATCCTTTCTTTTTGTCTTACATTTTGGCCCATAAGAAGTCCATAATCTCGAGTAATCAACAATCTAAAGATTCATTTTTATCAGACTACCAACATTAAAATTATAATATCAATTTGTACAAATTATGCAGAAGCTTCAAGTTTCTTAGAATCTTTATGAGATCATATAGTATCACGCTTGCAAGAACAAAGGATTCTACATGCTTCGGAATTTTTGTTCTACTCTAAGCTAGATTTAGAATAAACAGGTTTAAACTTTCACACATATCCAATAACAATTTATGGAAGGCATACGGTTTTGATCTGGGTATTAGAGGTCAGGGCATTTACCAACAGGACAACGAACCAATGGCTCCTAGAGCAAATTTAAAATGTGGTTTGTGTTGAGCTGTTTGTATAAACCTTGTCACAAAAGACTAGAAATAACAGAGATAAAAACAATATATAATTTTCTGAGATTCTCTGATTTTGAGGATCCTATATGATGATGATAGTTCTCAACTGACCAATTTTAACTTCCTGCAGTTTAAATCCTTTTATGCAAAAATCGACTTTGTCTATACCACATCTTCTAATTAATAATAATAATAATAAAGTTCTTCATGTACTGATTACACAGAAGGCCTGTAAGTAGTTTTTGCAAAGAATAGTAATTGGATATGGCTTACAAAAGAAAAATAAAGTTTGACCGATCTGCTATTTAAGAATTGCAATGTTCATTTATGTTTCAAATTTAGCCTAACATCCAACAAAATCAAGAAGATGAAACATTGCAAAAGATTCAAGAGCTTATGCTTCAAAATTGCAAAGAATTTTTATCGTTTGGCTCAGCAGCGCTTAGGTGCAAATCAAATTTTCCATTCAATGCGGATATTAAAAGAACTAAAAATAGACTCTCAGAGATCAAGAATCTGAGATCTTTCAAGTTCTCCGGACAAACTGTTTAAGCTCAGAAGAACAATATCTCGGCTTCCGTCGTTCCAAGATCTAATTTCCAAATTTTTAGCGACAGATAAACTTTTTTCCTCCATAAAATAGAAGTCGATACACCTTATTGCAGCTGCATCAGGTAAATCTCCCTAAATAGGGTTCCAAATGGAAGGTAAAGACAAATGGAAAACATGAGCTGAAACTGATATGTACAAAGAACCCTCTCGATTTATAAAAGGAAACCCTAGACAAATTCATCGTACTAGGAGGAAAATACCCTAATGGGTCGAATTTCGCCAAAAGATTGTGCGGTGAAATGAGAAAGAAAAGTTAGTAGTCTTACCGGATTCGTAAAAGACGAGCTGTGCAGAGATCGAGTGCAAGAGCACTTTGGAGAAGACAGAGCTTGAGAGTGGTGAAGCTATTTTCGAAACACAAGCGAATAAAAACACCAAGAGAGAGAGAGAGAGAGAGAGGGAGCTTGTAAAACTGAAGAAACAACCAATCGGATCCGTCCATTTCGAAAATATGGAAACTTATGATTTGCTGATCGTTTGATCCACTGGGAAGCAAAACACTCCTGTGGCCCGTGCATTTTGAAATGAATGGACAGGATTAGGCGAACGTTAGTCTACCCGTTTATTTCACATTATTATTTAGAGGCCATTGCATACCTACAACCCAATTCCTATGTATTAACGTTATGAACTATCCAACTTTTAATTTTTGCATACATATCATCCAATTTTTATAATTTCGGCATATGTTGGATCGCCTCTAAGCAAAAATTCAAATTTAGATGATTAATATGTTAATACATAGGAATTGGCTGGTTCGTAAATCTCATGTATATCTGATAAATAAATATTAAAAAAATAAAAATTCAAATTTATTTTTTTTCAGCTTAGTTATTTTGCTAAACTCTATATTACCATATATACTAAATTAGAGTTACAAAATATATATCAAAAAAATTATAATTATCCTATTAATTTTTGTAGTGTTACAAAATATTTTCTTGAATACATTTTATATGTTATCCATCTTAGATTTTTTTGCTAAACTCTATATTACTATATATACTAAATTTTGTCTCCCACAAAACTTAAATTTTTAATAATAATTATATAGTTATTGTATTTTTAACTTAATAAAATTTTATTAAAGTTATTTTTTACAAAAGTTATAATTTTCCTATTAAATTTTTTAGAGTTACTAATCTTTTCCTTCAAAACTTTTTATATATCTCAAAAAAATTACAAAAAAAAAATTTTAAATAAAATTTATCTCTATTCTCAAGAAAAATTTAAGAATATAAATGTGTTCAATTTTGTAATACAAAATATTATATTTTAGTCAATTAAACTTAAGATAAATTAAAATAAAACTAGAAGAAAGTTTTATTAAGATTTATTGATAAATAATGAATTATGGAGGAACAATTCTTTAATGTAATTCATGTTAAAGGCATAAATGCATTAGGTTTGAAGAAAAATTTTGTAATGTTCTCCCCTATCTCAATCTTGATAGTAATTATATTCCAAGTCAATGATATGAAGATACGAGTAATATGTGGGATGAATAAAAAATGTTGCAATTTTTGTTTATAAAAAATTATCCCTTTACAAATTATTTATTTAACATATAATTGATAGAATTGTAAATAAATTTATTAGTTTTAAATGTGCATTTAAATATCAACAATAATTTTATTTAAATTTTAAAAGAAACATAATGATATATTTATTATAGATGGTGAAATTATTTATGAAAAATGGGAATGCATTTTCCAAATATGAATGCTTCTTATTTTTTAGGTTAATGATATTTGTTGACCTCACTTTTGTTGAGGTTTAGTCTTTTTTTCTTTGAAGCCTAAGATCCAGTCACAGGACTTTCCTTTTGACTATCCTAGAGAACTAGTTGGAACCCCCCCCCCCCCCCAAAAAAAAACATCTAAACACCTCTTTACTCTTCTCGGAGTTCCACATGTTTGGTTCTAACCTCCAGCACTTAGCAGGATGGAGCTAAGCATTGGGGAGTTCAAGAGGAGTCCCTATAGGACTATCTGACCTTAGAGTTATCCCTGAGTGGTGTAGTTTTGGTCAATATTGCACAAAAACACTTGAACCCCTTAATTTCACTCACAACCTAAAACCCTAAAACCAAATATGCTTAGTGTGATCCCCTTACTCTTTTGGAGACTCATGTGGGTGGTCCCTCAAACCCTTAGCCTTTGGCTAGGATGACTAAAACCAGCACATGAAGAATATAAAATGGAGGATTTCCTTGGTCTCATGGCACCATAAAGTAATTTTGTGATTAGCCTTCTCATTAAACACCAATTTTACTTAAATACCCAATTTTGGCCTTTTGCCCCCAAACATTTCCAAAATTACCAAATTGCCCTTGGAACACTAAACTTTCAAATTTTCCAAAATTATCAAATTTTCTTAAAAAATCATCACAAAACCATTTCAAACCTATGAAATTGCCCAAATCACCCTAAAAAGTCCAAAATTTTCAAAATACCCTTAACTTTACAAAATTACAAAAATGCCCCCTCATGGCCCAAAAATTCCCAAAACATCCCAAATCATTTGAAACATCCCCAAAACAAATTCTAGCCATCCATTATGTTGAATTTGACCAAATTAACCAATTTGACAAAAAAAAATCTCAATTTTACCCCTAAATGCCTAAAGTCTTCAATTACCCCTAAATGCCTAAAGTCTTCAAATCACCCCCAATTTCCACCAAATTGATTTCAAACTTCTCTAATTTCATATCTGAAACAATTTCCATCATGTCTAAACCCAATTGAAACAAAATTCTAGCCCAATTAAACTCCATTTCAAGGCAAAATTTTAAGACTAATCTAAATGCCCCAACTTGACCCTAAGCCAAAATTCCTTCAAATTGAACTCCCTAGCCTATTAAATCCACCAAACTCACTTCCTAAAATCTTCTTGACATTCCCCTAGACCAAATTGAGCCCCCAATTGGACTAGAAACAAACTCATGCCTTGCCAAATTTCAAATCAAACCAAAATCCCCAATTTTGCCCAAACATCCAAATCTCACCAAATTGAACACCATACCCTCTAAATTTCCATCCAATTGACTTCCCAATACCTCATGAAAATCTTATAAATCAAATTGGCCAATCAATTGAACTAAATCTAAACTCTAGTCAAGCTTAAACTCAAGTCTAAGCTAAATCCAAAATTTTGAACCTAAACCCTAAACCCACTTGGCGTCACTTGGTTTAGCCCAACTTAGACCACCACAACAGCCATTTGGACTCTAAGGTCCAACCTAGATCCTCTTAGCCCACCTTAGAGGTGCCATGGACCAAGGATCCCATGATTTAGTGGAATCCTTTCCATTTTTGGCAAAATGACTTAATATTCGTATCACTTGATTAAGGGTCTGTTTGGTTTGACTTCTGCTGCACGACGCGTGGCGCTGTATGCGACAGCCGCTTCGTCGCGCAGTCGGCCGTTTGGTTCGTAGCTTTGCAGCAAAACTTTCCCAAAGTTGAGCAAAAGCGGGTTGCGATATTAACCCCGCGGCCCCGCTTTTGCCTGAAGATTCTCCCCGCTTACCCCTTTTTTTTCTCTTCAGCCCTAACGACTTCCCTTGCGGCTCTCCTTCATCGTCTTGCTTCATAGCCCCCCGATCGACAGATCTGAGGTATAACGAGTAGTTTTCTTCTTCTAATCGCAGATATGACGGTGCTTATGAGTTTTTTCGAATGTGATGTTTTCTCCTCTCATATCCTTCCTACTTCGGCGATTTTTTCTTTAGCGCATGGAACCTCTTTAGTTCTTTATCCCTTTCTTTCATCACTAGGGTTTTGCCTTTGCTTTCCCTTCTCGTTTGACCCATTCTTGTTTGGTGGCTGATGGCTCAAGATTGGTCGAAGATTGTGGTTGTGGTGGTTGATTCATGTGTAGTGGTAGTTGTTCATGCATTTTAGTAGTGTGAAGTGCATAGATGACAGTGCATATGAGCTGTCGAATTGATGTGGAGTTGGCTTGTTAATGTCATGATACCTTACTCTTCTTCCTCCAAATGATGTTGAGTTGGGTTAGGAGGGGGAATGATTATTCCCTTCTTCTCTTGCTTGTGATTAGGAAGTGGTGTTTTTGATTCCATCTACTATTTTCCTCTTCCCCAATCTTTACTTTGACAGTGAGCATACATTTTAGAAATCCCCTGTTTCGGTTTGGGTGGCTGGATCTACTTTAATGTTTTTGGAGAGTGCATCTGCATTTTTGGAGAGTGATCTGCTCTTTGTGATGTGGTATTTTTGGAGTGCATCTGCATTTTTTATTCCAGCATTCTATTGCTTGCTGTTTTTTCGAGCTTGTTGGTTACTAATCTGTTGAAGCACACAGAAAATGGTGTAATAACATTTTGCTATTGATATGTTCTTGCTGTTTTTTCGAGCTAGCCACTATAAGTTTGACCTATTAATTGATATGTTTATTGGAGGATTGAAATCTCAAGGAAAGGTTGTATCAAGGGAAGAGAGCTAGAAGGAGATGAAAGTCATTATTTCTTTTAGGAGCTTTGTTACAATGTTCACTCATATTTATAAAAGGCTTAACTTGTGCATTACAAATAAAGAATTTATTATGCACAAAATTGGAGGGGTCTTTTTTATGGCAATGGAGCATGTAATTAATATAAATTTGATAATGCATTGCTTTGGCAACTATATATCATAAATGTTCATCATTGACATTCTACTTTTTGGTAATGTTCATGTCAAGCAGCTCGGTCATGAGATGTCTATTTTACAGGGGAGTTATTTTAGGATTGTATTGGGATATCTTTTTTCTTGGATGAGTTTGGTTGTTGGATGGATTCAGTTGTTCCCACGAATTCATTAATTAATACATGGGTGATGGATTTCAATG